GGAATATTATTTCGCGAGGATACGTGAGTTCGAAGAAAGCACGTCGGCGGCACACGTGCGCGCACGTACGAATAAATTGCGGCTATTCGCAGAAATTCCCAAGGTACAAACCAATACCCGGCCGGATCTCCGACGATGATGACGCCGGTAATCGGCACGCGGTGGAATCCGCGCGGGCTCGTCACGTTGCTCGTCCGTATTACATCGTCCGTCGTGTGCGCGCAAGAATCTTTTATTACGTAAGGAGATATCGAATGTGTGCACTTGAGGCCGAGAATTGCGCAAGGCTCGCGTCTGATACGTCCGTATCGGGCCGAGCTTTTCCCTCGTGTATCCCGCGCCTTTTCATCACCGTAGCCGACTTACCGTTAGCCGCGAAGAGGAAGGAAATAATCGAGCACGCTTGGCCGTTGCATTCGCACTTCGGTCGGAAAACGAGGCGAGGGATGATCAAAGGCGGGCGCGCGAGCGGATTTATGCGAGAAGTCGTTTAACACGCTTCACTTTAACACGCTCGTGTGCGCGCGGAAACGCACGACGGCGCGTTTTCACGACGCGACTACCCACGAGGGTCCGTTCCACGACGCCCACACGACGCGAGGATCGCGAGGATCGCCAGGAACCGCCGGTACAGGCAGAGGTCAAAGACTCCCCCTCACCTTACGCGACCTCGTCTTACGAGCGACGTACCACCGTACCGTCGGCGCGAATTATTGTTCCCTTCGGCACGCCGACCCTTAAATTATGCAGTTCTTTCGTGACGGCGGTAGGTAGGTAGGTAGGTAGGAAAGGTGCAGGCAAGTAGGTGTTGCAGCTATTGCAACATTGCCAAGAGAGAGAAGCAGTCTCTTCCTCTCGAGGGAATCCGTCGTGGCACCTTCGTTGCCCTTCCGAGGAGGGCACGCGCAGGTGACGCGCGGTTGTTGCCGGCAATTCCAAAATTATCGGGCGCGCGCTCGCGAGAACGCAAATCGCCGGGCGCGTGTTTCGCCGGGAACTCGGGTTAATAATATGTAATCCACGGCTAATAGAGACAGTCGTTCGGTTCGCGGAAAATCTAAGTATAAGACAATCTGCGTGTGAATAATTTAGAATAATTTCCCTGAAACAATCTATGAAATGATCTGAAATATGTATGCTGGGTTCGAGGCAGTAACTATTACCATCTTGATTATCTTCGAAATTATGAGAGTATGGAAAAAATGTATCCGACAGAAATTACATGGTGCAGAAGCGGTTGTCTTATGGTGGCAACGCTTTGTTTCCTAGAAAGAGTAGCTGCAGAGATTTAAAGGTCACTTTCGCGTTTTTATATGGAGAATCGTAGTTTTTTCTTTTTTTAATATCAATCGATTCACGTGTTTATTCTTCGTATAAAAGTACTAAAGTGAGATCACCGAGAAATGAATGCTTTCTCTTATTCTCACAGTTTCGGAGACATTCAATGGCAATAATCGTCGCTATATAACTTAAGCGTCGAATATCAAATTTAAGTATACAATCATCAAAAGTCTCAAATAGCACAAAACTTCTGTCCGAACATTTTCCCATGTATCTCACAATTTCCAATATTCGCCCACAATCAGTTTCACCGGATTTTCTTCGAAGAATTGCTTCAACCCCCCTGAACGTGCGAAAAAAAATATATATATATAAAGATAACGAGGGATATCACCGTACGTTTCCTTCGTGAGACGCGAACGCACTCGTCGCATTCGATTTGCGCGTAGACACGTTTAAACGCGACGATTAATACGTATCATTCGCGCACGGTTTGTCGGCTGCGACGTTTACGAATCGACGCGTTTAACGGACTCGCCCGTCTCTTCTCCGCTATCTTCGATTGAGTTCGATCGACGTCAAACGACACTCGTTCATCGTCGTCGTCGCGATTACCCACGGCCGCTGAACGCTTCTATCATCGACGCGTTTTGCATCGCCTCCGGGGGAAGAAGCCCGGCGTTATTATCGAGCAATCGAAGGAGCGAGCGATCCGTTAAGGAGTCAGCGGGGCTGTACGCCGCCGTATTTTGCATCTACATCGCGAGAAAAGAGCAAAAAAGCCGGACGCTACACGAGAGAGTTACACGTCTCTCGTTTCCTTTCCCGGCGAAGATCGCGTCGGTCATATCGCCGAATGTGATTCACGGCCGAGCACGCCCGCTGATTACGTTTCCGTAGGCGGCTCGTAAAACGTAACGCGCGCCGCCAATTTGCCGCGAATCCTGCGCGGGTACGCAGGAGGGGGGGCCGCCGGGGGGCTTGATTGGCGATTAGAAATCTAACGCGCGCAATTCTGCGCGCTCCGCACGCGGACGATGATTATGTATCGACTCGGCGCGTCACGGTTAATGATTCTCGAAAGTATAAGTATCGCGAGCCTCTTTACGACAACTCAGGGGCCCATTGAACACGGGAAACTCCGGGGTAGGTAGACTCCGCTGATAAGCGGAGTCGATCAATCACGAGTTGAGAGGATTTCGAGGATGACGGTGTACCACGTACTCCTCGATTATAATTGAGATCCTTAATCTTTGCCACCTTGTATCTCGCGGAAATCAATTCAACGCATTCATTTTGGGATTACGGTTTCTCATTGTACGCGCCGATGCCCGGAGTATCATTAGGATAGATTATCTCGGTAATGAACAGACCGTGTACTCGAGTACCGATATCGCAGCGATCATCGGACTCGGCATCGCGATGCTCGCTAAGTTCATTATCGGTTAATGAAAGAAGGCACCGAGCAACGGTGCCGTTAAAGACACAAGGCTCTTGCACGTACATACGCGATGACATGAGAGACGTGGCGCGAGGCTCGGTCGCGCACTGCACACGGAGTGTTGCTAAATCAGATTTCGCAATCGACCGTTTCAATGAAATGAAATGGAATCGGTAAAATTTTACCGAAAAACCTGTCAGTTATTATGCGGAGGTGATTTGTTAAGAATGCTGATTGCCGTTCGCTGCGTTTCGCTGAATCTAGGGATTATTTCGCTATTTCCGACGAATTTCACTTTAACGGGGATCTCGGGTCTCAAAATTGTGTTCCATCTTAAGAAGGATCCCGTGACGATCACTAAGATTTGGTAAAATAGTATCAATTAAATTGTTTGGTTACTGCGCGACTACTAAATAATTGTGTTGCAGTGCGAGACAATGTAGTGGAAACGATTTGACCAAATCCTCCTTTCAATGTACGGAAGAGACGCGCAGAAGAGAGATCCGTACAGCGGTCCGACCGATAATATCCCCCCGATATTCCCGGCGACGAAAGGTCGCCGCCTTCAAATTAGCCGGAGAGGCCGCGGTTAAAGGGACACGCGACACTTTCGGGACACCGTATGTACGAATATCTCTCTCTTTCTCGTAACGCTCCCGAGAAGAAGACCGTAAGTCCGGTCACATAACGGTCCAGTTATGGTATGGCGAGGAAGCGATCTCTCGCCTCGACACACGATTCCCTCGTTACACGAACGGTGTCCTCCACCAACACCGACCGCCACCGACACCACCACCACCATATCATCATCATCACCACCGTGTTTCCGTCCACCACCTTGCGGCGCTTATCCTCCGGTCGGCCTACCGGGTTGAGACCTCGCTTCTCTTCCAAGCGACGCACTCTCTCTCTCTCTCTCTCGGCTGTGTATTCACCATGATATCCCCTCCCCCTTTCCCTCCTTACGCCGCCCTTTTTTCCTCCTGTCGCCGACAAATGTACGGACGATCGCGATCGTTAGAGCGACCGAGATACGTGTCGAGATATTCGACCGCAAACGAGCATGTTCTTCCCTCCCGCTTGTATATACACATTGTGTATGCATTCACGGCTGGCGATGGTAATAATAATAGTAATGACATAATGATGTAATAACAATAGGCCGACGATAACATTAAGCATGCTAATTGCTCTTATTAGCGTGACTGTAACGCGACTGTATATACGCGTATTAGGACTTCCTTCCTGGAGATATCCTTGGACGTTTCTCTCCGCGAGACGCTTATCCGTCCGATCGGCGAGTATTTTTAACCGGCATCGTCGGTTATCACGCCGGGGAGAACGAGTGTTTAGCATTGGTGACTGTAATTGCACCGTGAAACAATTACAGTCGGGAAACTATTTTCGTTGTAAACGTTATTACGATGCTGTTGGCGATGATAACAATCTCATATGCACGTATTGCTACCGCTACTTCCCTTCCTTTTTTCTTTCTTTCACTCGAACGGCGAAGCGAAAAATAGCTGACCGTAATGACTACAATTAAATCAAACGACATGTAATTTCAGGGAGATTAATCACCTCTTTTCCCCCGCCGATGCCTGCCGCCCGGCTGTGTTACTTCCCGTCAATGTTTCCCCGTTCGTATTGTCCGTTCGTACTTCGCGAACGGAACCTTCATTGTTCGCGTGTAAGGGTCGTCCGGTGGGGAAGGGGAAGTCACGACTTCGTCGCACGCGACAGGTAGCGAATGCGATTCCGATCCCCGGAGCGCGATTCACAATGGGCGCAATTCCGAGTCAGGTGCGTCGGAATGAGCGGGGAAAAGGCTTGCGTCAGGTTCGAGGCGAAGATTGTCGGATATCGCTCGCCTCGTGCTTTCGGATAATTTCGACTGGCGGGACTCGTGATCGCCCGTAACCGATGCGAGCAAATTGCCCGGTAGCTAATCGGCGGAGGCGATAAACCGAATTAAAATGATCGCTGCCGAAGGTGCCGAGCGGCATACTGATGCAACGATAATCACGGTAGCCCCCCCCCCCCGTGCGATAATTCTACAGCGTTTGTTAAGGATAATGGGTAATAACTCGATCGATTTGCGCGGTTCGTGGAGCCGCGCGGCCGTGAGCGGCAACGAGCTCGCGAGCGAGCACGTTGTTTGACGCCGAAAATGTCATCAATGAAGGGGCGAGCGACCTCCAGGTGAGACGTCGGTTACGAGAAAGAGACGACTGTTGCTCTCGACTCGTCGAGGGAAAGAGAGAAAAAACAGACTCACCAGCTCGGTAGGCATAGTGTTGCAGGATCTGAGAGGCAGATTGTAGGTTATGGGCGTGGGCTGACTCCTGTACTCCTGCAGGCAGGAGCTGTTCTTCGAGAGCCCGCGCGGATAGACCAGACCGTGGAAGTCTGTGTTACCCTCCGTCGAGATGCGGACGATTATCGACTCGCTCGCACACTCGATCTGCACGGTGCTCGCTACCGCCGCGGTGGCTGAAACATAGGTGAGAAAAATAGATCGCAATTAGCGTCGACCAGATCGATTTAGCGGTGAGATACGGATCATTCGCGATTAATCGATCCCAAATTCACGAGGATGCGGATCTTTAATTACGAATTATCATGTCATCGTGATCCGACGAAATCGGTTCGACGCGCAAATAGCGCGAAGAATGTGGGATTTTGTTTTTTTGGGGGCGACCCACCCAGATCGATCGCCCGATTCGGCGCGTGATACACCTGAATGAACGTGAGCGAAACTCGATACGGCATCTATTGAATGAAGTCTGTACACCTCTCACGGCCATTGTACCCGCCGTACGGTAATTTATCGTATTTCTAATGCTCGTCACGTCGGACGAATCGCCGAGTTAATAACTCGTGAGTTTAATAACCTCCGCGTGGGCGTGAGCGAGATCGCGAATCTACGAGTATCTCAGGGGGGGGGGGGGAATTGCAAATTGGAAAAACGCGGAATCCCCCTNCCCCCTTCGCGTGAGAGGAATCTTCACCACGAGGGAAGAACTCGATAATATATTTACGCGAGAAGGAAAAGACCGGTTGACGTGACATGACTCGGTAAAGAGAAAACAAAATTTCTGGTTCCTTAGAGGCTCGAATTTGTGGCACGGAGGAACAGGAAATTTTCCGTCCCTTCACTAAAACGCGCTCGGTTACGTCACGTTACGTTGTTTTAATCAATCCTTTTCTCACAAGTCGGTGATCGATTTGATATCGATGATTGATTTCCCGGATCAGTCGATTTGACACCGTTAGATTTTCCATCGATGCAGAGGAGGATCGATGCTATATTGGCGGCAGATCCACGCGACATTTTGTTAATATTACATCGATGTAAGTCGATCCACCCGGATTTCCCATCGACACGTGAAACCCGAGTATAACCCGAGGAAATGCCTGACAGAAGAAAAATGCAAGATAAGCACCCAGCTGAGCGATAATAATAAAATAATAATAATATACCGCCATGCCGGCAAAATTCCTCTCCGCCGTAAACGGGCCCGCATGATCGTTACGGGCGAACAATTATTGCGTCTCGAGCGTTCACGGTTCATCGGAAGGAGGTCAGAGGACGAAAGAGATACTTCTCGATAGGGCGGTGAGTCGCCGCGGTGCGCGCAACAGCGAGACGAAAGCGAACGCGCAATAACACTTCGCGTGGACCCCGCGGTAAAACCGCGAGAACTCCGTGGAGAACTCGATTGCGAGATCGTCGCGGTTGGACGGGCCGCCATACGACCTACCTATGTGCCGCTTTACGTTTAATCGTTTTCGCAACGAATGCCGGATCCGGCGGACCCCGCGGCAGGTGCGAACTGCCGGCTATCTTTGTCGACTCGCTCTTCTCCCGACGTAGCAAATCAACTGTTGACTCTCACATAATGATTTATTGATTTATTTCCTAACTTATTTGTCGATTCCTTCATTTACGGGAACAAACCGTTTAGTATAAAAGAAATATACGTGAAAAATCATAGATGACAGGCATAATCTGTAATACTTGATACATCAGAATTTGAAAAAAATAGGCAACGTGTAAGTGCGCGCGCTTGAACTTTGTCGATTATGAAGGTTTTCCGAGCACTCGTTTTCATTAAACTATTTTTTGTCCTAACGTGTATCGCTCCACGGAGTGTAAAACTATTGTCGTTTGCTTGCGCAAGCCGCCAGGGCTAGCGGTAGGAATTTTATGTGTGAATGTTCGCGTTCACCCAGTTTTTTCTAGTTTATTTATGCTAATATTGACATTTTACACAATCTTACTGGTTCCTATTTTTCTTTCTTATTGGGACTTGACTCGAGAAACGAATTTTTTTCATTTTCCCACCAAAATCCCCCCAAACTTCAACCACATCATAGGATACCCTATAATGGAATTCATACGGCGTAAAAAAATGATATTCAACAATCAGAATACGCTGGTTAGTCAAATAAGGAGGCTACAAGACACTCGTAAACTCATAGTCGAGAACGCTCCTCGCGATTGTTATTAATAAACGCGAACTCATGACACCGAACATGAATAAAGCACCGGTCAAGTGATAATTAAATTACAACAGCGCGCGCGTTTACGTAAGAATACTCTTCGAGCTTATTCAACCTCCTCGTTGCGGCACCTCGCGATAATCTCGACCGGTGGATTGTTGTTTACAATGGAAAGTGCGCGCCGAGAGGAAACGGATAGCCTCGTCTTCGCCGCTCTCGATATCCTGTCGCTGAATTCCGCCCGCTTGCCGGTGGAAACTCGCTCGCGCGTCCGCTCGCCTGTGACCAATTAGCCGTAAAAGTGCGGTTGCTCGCGCACCGAGACCGTCCACTCCGCTTCCACAGCGTGAAATCACTCGCTCGCTCTCGCGACGCGTTACGATTCCCGTTGATTAAGTTCGTGTTACGGCCGAGAGCCGTCGATTAAATTTACCCAGCGCGAAATCCGCGGCGTCAAGCGCCGCTCGCGCGCTTTTTGACACTCGACGCACGGCGGAAGACCAACGTTTACGTTGACGACGACGACGGTTCCGCGCGTGTTTCCTTAGATCCTCCTTCCCTTCCGCTCTTTTCCGTACATTTCGCGCGCTCGGAATATATTAATTCGTCGGCAAGGAAGGGAGTATAATCGACCGAATCCACCATTATATCCAGCAGACGATTAAAACGGGACTCGCGCACATTCATCGTGTCTAACGAGGCCGTGGATTATCGCTCCGGAAAATTCATTAGAGGCTCGCCCAAAGCGACGCGAGAGTTGTTCTCTTACCTCAATGTGTGTGTGTGTGTGTGTGTGTGTGTGTAAGAGCGCGTGGAACGTCGCCTGAGTAAATCCGAGGAAGAGGCTCGGCATGCACGAGCGAGCGAGCGAGGAAGAGAGCGCGTCGTAATGACAATAATCATCGGCGGATTATCATTATCAGCGCGAGCCGAGACAATGATGAGAGAGTCGTGAACTTGACTCGGTGCTGGCAGACAGCCAACCCGTCGAGAGCGGCCGGCTCTCTTCTCTTCCCCGTTTTCGCTACTGGTTGGAGGATCTCTCAGGCCCGGGATCCCCGATGTTGCGCATCGTTGTTATTTACATCGCTAATCGCGAAGAAACGTTGCGACACATCGATCATCGCGGAGCATCAGTCGGAAAGCTCGCTTCTTCACCGGATAAACCGGCCATCCTTTACATTTGTCATTCGTATAAAGATAAACCGAGAAGAAGGTTTCTTTGGATATAACTTGCGAGTTTTCTAACCAAGATTCGCTTGGTATAAACAAAACTGATAGTATTAAATATCGTTTTGCTTGAGTAAAAATGCCGTTTCACTCAGATAAATCCGTGCATACCGTCCAAAAATATTTCGCAACTCGCGTTTGAATCGGGCCGGATAATTAATTACGGAAGTGCCGATTCTCACGGGGCGGGCGGATTAAGAGTCACGTTTGACGAATGCTTCCTGAGACCGGCCGAGCGTGACGTCCTCCGTCGAATCGAACGGGACGATGCTCGACTCACGTGGTGGGAAGCGGCAATTAACGGCACGCGAGAAGTTAATGCGCTCCTCGTCGTAACGACGCGGTTCTCGTCGTGCGATCGTCCCGGTCGGAAATATCGAGGCGGGACTCCGCGAGGATCCTGGAATCCGCGAGGTCGACGAACTCAGCTCGGCGGTTACGCTTCCGCACGATTCATTTCGGCTTTTCGGCCGGCATAGCGGATCCGAGACGATGGAGGAGAGAACGGGAGGTGAGGAAGAAGGTACCGGTTACTCGCGAATTCTCGCCTCCTTGCACAAGCGAAGAGCCGAACTCGCTCTTGAACCAAGTCCGAGTGTTCCCGGTTGAGAAATAAAAACACCTGCGCGAACTTCCGCGTTTGCGCGCCCGGCCACGGAGAAATCCGGCGGATTGTCACTTTTATTCATTGCGGCCCACCTCGGTGCAATTTCGTCGGTGTCATTTACGAAACGCTTCTTTCCTACTGAATTTCATTGAAATCCGGCCCAATTATCGTCTGATCTTATCTTTGCGTTTTCACTTGATTACGATTATATCCATACTTTCGATCGACATGGCTTTAACGCTAACCCGAGACCTCCGTAGGAGATAAACGTAGGAAACAAAACTCTAATTAAAAAAACGCGTGTGAAGTAATCAAAGCCTTCCAATGGGTCAACAAAGCGCCGACAAAGCGGAAACGTCACCACTGACGTGGTCCATGTCCGGCCGGAAGTCGCAGGTACTTGACCTTTGGGCCTCCCTTTGTGTGCCCGGGCGACTCGGACACGTAAGGTGAATCCGACGTCGGCGCGACGAGGCGACCGTAAAAAATGCTAACGAGCCCGGCGATGCTTGGCGTCTCGCTTTTATTTGCTTTTCCTTTCTCTCGCGGCCTTTTCCGCCGCGCGGTCGCCCTGTGTACACGCACCGCGCGGTATTCTTCTCCGCTTCTTTCTTCTTTTTTTCTCCGGCTGTGACTCACGACTCCGAGTTCCCGAAGGGCGAAACAAAGGCGCGTCGAAGAAGACGTTCCCCCCGGTTGCAATTTGCAAACGACACGCGAACTGTGCTCGCGACTTCCGCCGCATAGATTACTCGAGAAGTCGCTCTCTCGCCTGCCTCTTCCTGTTTTCGCTGAAACGCTCATCTTAGGCGCGCGCGAGCGCTCCTCCCGCGACGGAGGATCCCGAGGAGGATTGTTGCCCTCAGCAGAGAACGAGAGAAGGAGAGGGGGAGGGAGAGAAAGAGAGAGAGAGAGAGATCTTGATCGTGAGAGAAGCAATGAGAGGACGGTCGCCGGTAGTGTCAGTAACCCAGCGGGGTGAGAATTGTATTACCGGATTCTATCGAGCCGGGGATAATCGCGCGCGTGCAACGTACTTTCATTATGAAATGACGCACACGTTGCATATTTCTCCGAAGCGTGTTTCTCTCGAACAGCAAGCCCGACGAGCCAACGACTCGCCACGCGAATCGACGTGGCGATTTTACAT